CTGTCTTACTTCAGTGTAAGACCACAATTTGAAGATTGATTTTTCTAAAAATTACTGATGAGTGATCCTGCCATAAATCGCAGGATGGGAGGAGAAGCTGCATCCATGGGCTTCTATGACAGTGCCAGCCAAACTGGTGGACACGCTGGCCTCACTGGGCTGAGCCAGGGGACAATGACATCGTGGAGAAGCAAAGCCAGAGACCCTTCCTGCAAAGCGCCAAGGCCATCCCTGTGTTTTGTGTGGCAGACAACATGGGCCGAGTGTGAAAGACATCAGTGGGCTTGGGTCAGAGAGAGAATGTTTTAGAGCATGCTGCTCACAGAGTCCCAGCAGGCCAGCTGCCTGGACACCACAGGCACCACTCCTTTGTACTTGCCAAAAAGCAGCCTCAGACCTTCCTCCCGATCTGCTGCATCAGATCAACTACCACTTTGTCTGTAACTCTGTATTGCTTGCATTGTTCTTATGCTATTTTGTAAATGAATGTCTGTTTGTTAATATGTTTTCCTTCTTTAATTTTTAAAATAAATTAATACAAAAAACATTTTAACCGGGTCCTCAAGTGATCCCAATTACAGCTTGGAAAGTATCTTTCCAGCCGGCTCAGGCTGCACGGACATGAAATAAGGGAAAGATAGCAAAGTGACCATCCAGTGGGCTCAGTGCAGAATATGCATCTTTGCATAAACTCCTACTCATCCTTCAAAATCCTTTTCCAAATGTTACCTCCCAGGGATACCTGCACTACTTGATAAATACTTCTATGACTGCACTAAATGCATCTTATCGCCAATATTTTTTTCTTACAGTCTTTATCTGGGAACTGTATTCCATTTGTGGCCATGGCCTTGGCTGCTAGCACAGATTGGAAAATAGGAAGAGTTCAATAAGGGACTGAATTGAAGCATGAAATTAGCAGACAGGAAGTCTTGATAAGTCAACCACTGCCACTGCGTGGTGGAAAAGAAAGAGACAATTTCCCTGCTGTGGGGCAGGGCTGGAACAAGTACCTGGACTTCCATATCTCTCGCCCTTGGAAAACTCAGCTGCACTCCCACAACCAGGTCAAGTGGGAGGAAGAGAAATAACCACAATAAGGAAGACCTGGTCTGGGTGTGAGGCATGGAAGCTCCGACTAGGACAGGACTGCACCCCTGACACAGATCCTGCAGCAAATCCACCCTCCCCACAACTGAAGCCTATCTGTTTCCCTTTTCTCCGGTACTGGGGATCAAACTTAGGACCTCTGCACTGAACTACCTCTTTAGCCTTCTCTTTATTTTGAGACTGGGTCTCACTCAGACACCCAGGCTGGGTTCAAACCTGCAACACTCCTGTCTCAGACTTCCCGAGCACTGGGTTTACAGCCTGAGCCTATTCTTTTGTTGTTATTTTGTTTTCGTGGTTTTTTGTTTCTTTCGTTTTTGAGAGAGAGTTTTGCTTTGTAGTCCAGGCTGGCCTTGAACTCAAAGTGATCTTCCTGCCTCAGCCTATTCTTAACTTCCAAAAATGGGGGGGACCTGTGTACACTTCAAGACCTTAAGAGCCCGACATCGGCTAGCCAGAAACCAAGATGTCCCCTTCCAAGTCTGTGGGCAGACTCTGAGCTCTGCGGCAACCTTGGCCTTATTGCCTTGTGTGTTTGTGTGCCCATGCTTGACAGACGTCTGGTCACCCCTGGAGATGGAGCCCTCACTTCTGCTACAAGTTGCTGGTTCTACTGTTTGTGCTGTTTGAAAAGTCCCTAATCGAGCTCTTCACACCTGTTACTATCCTAGCTTCTGCACCCTCTCCTTCCACATCCCACTGACCTGCCAAACGAGCATGGGTTGCTCCATCAGTAGGTATCCAGCCTCTGCCAGGCAGAGGGCTCATGCTGTCCACCAGATCCTCCCCATGACTGCCTTGGACACACCACCTACTCCCCAGTAGGCTCTGCCTCCACCCCTATTCCCTCCGTCCGTCTCCTCCATCCAGTACAACTGCTGAGATCCTCCAAGTCAATCCCAAGAATGCCAGGGAAACTTGTAAAAGGCAGGATGGGCTGGTGAGAAGCGTGACGCTGACCATGTGGCCCCCAGGGGCTGCGGGTGACACCACTCCATCACAACGACCCCACAAGGAGGGCTTTGCCGCCCTTGTGATGCATGGCAGAAGCTGAGGCTCAGGGGGGTGAGGCAAATGTGCGAGGACGCACAGGACAAAGTGGCAGAGCAGGAGCCAACACAGGGCTGTGTGGCCCAGTGGCCTGCACCAGCTGGGTCCTTGGTCTCCTCAGTTTCTGTGCAGGGGCGACCCCCAGCCCTCTTGGGGCACTTTACCACTCTCAGGGAAGTCAAGAAGTCCAAAAGGAGGAGCACTATTCCCGCTGAAAGACGAAGGCATCGTATCTGCAAAGTGTGAGTGAGACTTTTTAAAATTCCAAATCTTTTCCTGCAGTTCCAGGGCGTCTGAGAAGTGGGGGCTACACCACCATCCACCTCTGTGCCCAGGCAGCAAAGTCCAATGCATCCAGCTGTCCTCTCCGCTCTGCCACCCCACCCAGCGGCACTGGGTCTGGCTTCCCTGATGGCCAGAAAGGCCTCCATGATTGGATGCCTCCTGAGTGCTGTCTACGGGCCTCTCCAAACAGGGCCAGGCAGGGTCTAGCTGCTTGGAGGAGGTGACTACAAATAGTCTCATTTTTCAGGGAAAATATGAGAGAGAGAGGAGTGCCTGTGGGGGGGGGTGCAAAGAGAAGGAGGGGGATCATAAAATGAATGGGAGGGCTAGCTGGGGATGGTAGTACACACCTGTAATCCCAGCACTCTGGGAGGCTGAGGCAAGAGGACTGACAGTTCAAGCCCAGCCTGAGCACTTTAGCAACTCAGTGACTCTGTTTTGCTAAAAAAAAAAAAAAAAAAGGGGGGGGGGAAAGAAAAAAAAAAGGTGGAGGGGAAAGAAAAGAAGATGTAGCTCAGTGTGAAGGCCCCAAATTCAATTCTTGGTACTGCAAAAAAGGGGAGGAACCCAAAAAAGAGAAGAGTTGGAATATGTGCTGAATGAACAGACTCCTGCAATGCACTCATCCTAAAACCAAAGCCCTGAAGTCAAAGGTAATAAAGGTATCCCCTAGCTAGTAAGGGCAGGGGGAAAGACCCGACCCCGGGGCTCTAGTATCTGCTCTATGAGGTGCAGTCTTACTTCCTCTGCAGTTGGTGTTGGAGCCATTAAGACCTGGTCTGAGCTAGGCGTAGCGGTGCATGCCTGTAATCTCAGCTCTCTGGCAGGCAAGATCAAAATATCAAGCCCTGGGCAACTAAGCAACTTAGTTAAGACCTGTGAAAGACACAGGGGTGGGAGGTGGGAAGGAAGAGAAGGAGGGAGGGAGGGAAGGAAGGAAGTAGGGAAAAGTGGTGGGGTCTGGTCTCCTTGGATCTTGCCAAGGAAATGGCTGTGGTCTGATGCCCTGCATATACACATCCGCCACCTGTTCTGTCTCTCCCAACTCCCTAATCATGTGCTCCTCATAAGAAAACGGGTGCGAGAACCCCCAGCGCCAGCTGCTCAGCGCCCTTCGAATGCTGTGTGACCCAGTACAAGTGCCTTCCTCTTCCTGGGCTCCAGAGAACCCTCCGTAAGGTGCAGCCGGGGGCCGCATGCTGGAGTCCGGCTGAGCTTTGCTGAGTCCCCAGGCATCGTCACCCTGAGCGTCACAAGCTCTCAGCCCCTGCTGCTGACAAATGGCCTGGCCACTATGGTGCTAACTGGGAGGGCTTGGTGAAGCCCTCAGTCTGGGACTTCCGGGAGGGACCGAAGCAAAGTTATCAGCCTGGGGTTCCAGCTTCCCAGGACAGATAGCTACGAGCCTGTGGGGAGCAGGAGGGATTACACCCAGACATGGGACCTCTGCGCTGTCTGGAGGAAGAGGCCGAGGGGCTAATCCCTCAGTCTTCCACGCAGGGCTGAGAAGTGAGCCCCCACAGCCCACACGTGTTAGGAGCTTTCCTTCAGTCACTGTCCACCAGTGACGGTGCCTCCTGCCTCTCCCAGATAAGCCCCTGGAATCAGCAGGAGTGTGCGGGACTGTGTGGGTGCTGGCTTTGAGGGTAGCTTCCCAGCACCAATCACAAGCTCCAGAGCCCTGGGTACCCTGTGCTCCCCCAGTCTCTACCCCCATACCCTCTTCAAGCCCCTCCTGCTGGCTTTCCAGCAAATGCAGGCCAAAAGAGGAGCTGGAATAGCTGCTGCAAGAGTAAACTGGGCGCCCTGGTCCTCATGCGATAGGCAAGACACGAAGAGTCAAGGGGAATAAAGGGACTTCCCCCAAGATACCCAGCTAGAAAGGGCAGGCGCAAAGAGCAACCCTGGGTGCCCCCAGTGTCTGCTGCAGCCCTCCGAAGTGGAAGGCTTGCCTGGCCCCGTACAGAACCATGAAGCCACCTCTCCCTTCCCTTTCTTCCCAGGGAAGTGCACTGTTCTGGGTGCCCCCAGCCCTGCACCTACCCAACCCCAGTGGTGCTCACCTCTCCACTGTTGCAGGCAGCTCACCATCTCCGCTACAGGGGGCTCAGAAAGGTCTTCACTTCCCCAGGGGCCCCCACTGGACACCTTCTCAAGGACTGCTGGCCTCCCGAGGCTGCCCTCAAATAGACCTAACCTCATCAGCTCCTGCCGACTTGCAGGGAAAGCAGAGGTCCAATCTAAAGTGCAGGTGAGGCAGGATCTGCCCCAAGCTGCACGTCCACCCCCATGGCTGGCTAGCTGAGCCTCAGTGTCCTACACAACCATAGCCACACGCTCCCTGAGCAGCCTGCAGCCGGGGGTAAGCACTTGACTGGGGTTCCTCATTTCATTCCACTCCCCAGCAGCCCGGTGAGCTGGTCCTGGGAGCATTATCACCATTTTACAGGAGTTGAAGGTGAGGCTCAGGGAGGTTCCTTGCACAAAGCCAACAGGCCAGGTGACAGTGGTGCCCACACTGAAACCTGCTTATCCTTGGCCCCCACCCCACCTACCTTCCTTAGGCGCATCTGCATCCCACACGCTCCACATCTGCACAAAGAAGAAGGGTGTCCAGCACACGATGAAGGCCAGCACGACGATGAAGGTCATCTTGACCGTGCGGATCTTGGCCTTGGAGATGAGCTTGACGTTACTGACTCTGGCCAGGGCCGCTCGCCCTGTGCCGGCCACAGCTGAGTCCTCGGGCCCCTGGGCTGCAGCCGCAGCCGCGGCTGCCGTCTTGAGCCGCAGATTCTGCCAGATCTTGAAGCTGATGAGCCCATAGCAGGCGGCCAGCACGATGACCGGCACAATGTAGACAGCCAACGTGATCCATGTGACGTAGGCCTTGGGCCCCCAGGGCTGGATGAAGACCGCCCAGCAGTCAAAGACGCCCTCGGCCACCTCGCGCAGGGAAAAGATGTGCACCTGAGGCACGCTGGCCACCAGGCAGCCCAGCCACGTGGCGAGCACGGCCAGACGGTCAGTGCGGCGGCGCAGCGAGCGCAGCGGCTGGCAGATGGCCAGGCAGCGGTCCAGGGACATGAGCAGCAGCAGGTAGGTGGAGGCGAACATGCCCACCACCTGCAAGTACTTGACCAGGCGGCACAGCAGATCAGGCCCGTAGAATCGGAAGGTGATGTCCCACAGAAGCTGCGGCAGCACCTGGAACACGGCCACCACCAGGTCGGCGATGCTCAGGTGCTTCATGAAGAAGAAGAGGCGCGAGTGCTTGTGGCGCGTGGTGCGCAGCGCCAGGAGCACGCACGCGTTGCCGCTCAGGGCCAGGAAGAGGATGAGGCACAGCACGGCCACCTCCACGCGCGCCAGGGCCTCGTTGCGCCGCGGCGGTCCGGCAGTGCAGTTGCGCTCGTGGTCCGGAGGCGCGGCGCTCGCGTTGGCCGCGTCCGCGCTCCAGTTGCAGGCAAGCGCGCCCTCCATCCTCGGAACTAGCGCCTCGGGCGGCGGGGTCCCCACTGGGGCCACCCCGACCCTGAAACAGACCGCAGGGCCATGAGATCCAGACTTTGCCTCTCCTCTTCCGACGCTCCCGGGACGCACTCGTCCCCTTCCCGGGGACCTCAAATTCCAAATCGACTGAGATTCCAGGCACTATCACTGGCCACCCCCAAATCCTTCTTTGAGCCACGGCAATAGGGCAGGAAGCCTCTATCCGTGAGGGGCTCAGCGCTTCCCCTGGGGCACAGGGGCGGATCGGCACCCACCGCTTTCTTCCCCTAACTGGACCCGGCTCAGCCAGCCGCCCAGGGGACCAGAACGCCCAGCACCGCCCCCTCCGCGCCCCCTCGGCATGGCTGCCTCCCGCGGACCACCCGGCCGCCCCGGTCCTGAAACCTTTACCTTGTCCGTCCTCCACCGCTGGTCTGGGACGCCCCTGGCGGGACCATACCCCGCAGCCCCCAACTTCCATACCTGTCCGCCTAGAGCCCTGTCCACTGCCTCCGGAGGACCCCGCCTCGGGAAACCCCGCCGCTGACAGCAGGACCCTGACCCACACCCGTGAGCGTCCTCCGCAGCCCCCAACCCGGCAACCGCTGGCCCCACCTCTTACTCGGGAGCTGTCACCAGCCCTCTGCAGCCCGTACGTCCACGTGCAAGACCCAGGCACCTGCACGGAGCTGCAGGTGGGGCTGAAGTTGGCTCCCGGGGAAGTTGCACCACCGCCGATGCTCCACGCGCCCGGCCGGTTAGAGCACCTCGGTCGGACTGCCTCTGCCCGCGGCTCTGCTCTCCTTGGGTGGGAACGGCAGGCGCACCGAGAGTGCAGCGAGGCTGCGGGCGCGGGCCGGGCGAGAGGTGCAGGGCGGCCGCTCGCGGCCCTGGATGCACTACCGCACGAGCCCGCCGGGGCGCGCAGCGGAGCCGAACTCTCAGGTGCCGGCTCAGAGAAGGAACAGGCTTCTGCTGCAGTGGTTTAAAACCGCCGGGGGAAGGCACTCTTAAATAACCCGCCTTGTTTCTTCCTTTCTTGGTTTAAAAGCCCTCTCAGAGAAATAGGATGCTCGAGATACAGTGCTGATGAAGTTACCAAAGCATTTAACTGATATTCCCAAACTGAGGTTAATTTCAATCCCCTCTTCTCCCCACCTTTTTTTAGTAACTCCAGTAGAATTAGAAATGCCTTCTATTCCAAGGATCTTTGAGAGAGACCTGCATTCGGTAGGTGGTTTTAGGTGGGAATCTCAAGCATCCGGCCCCTCCATAATCTACCTCTATCAGAAGCGGTTGTATCATCTCCGCACCCAAAGCCACTTCGGCTTCCTTGCCGTTCTTCAAAATTAAAATCCTAAATAATGGCAAAGGAAAATGAAATGTTAAAGACTGCTTCTCACATTCTTGCTCCTTTTCTAATCTTTTTTTTCTTTTTAAAGTAACTTAAAGAATTAAGGTGAGGGGGGGGGAGCCCAGAATTCAAAAACGAACAAGGCTATTTAAAGTATTTATTTTTATGTATGAAATGTACATTTTCCTGACATTTCACTTCTCCCTCTTAATTACGTGGAGAGAACCAAGTTAGGCAAGACTGTGCTTCCCGCATCCACAATTTCAGGCCTGTGCCGAGATGTCTTGGGCAGGGCCTCACAGTTCCTGACCCCAGGTCTATCTGAGTTACTGTCCAGGCTGGGCTTGCGTATTCTGGGAGCACGGCCAGATGGCAGGGGGCAGAGGCCTTTTTCTTGCCTTCGGTGGTTGTGTCACAATATTACTTATAGTGTGTCACACTAATTACAAATTAAAGTTCCAGAATGCTTAGGTGAGAATTAAGTGACTGGCAGACCCCTCCTTTCCCCTGGGCCCCAGTTTCCCCATATGGGAAGTGAGGGGGCTGGCCCGGAGTGCTCCTGCCTGAGCTTCCATCCCTCTGGTTTTCTGGAGCTGTATTCCCTATGTTGTCCAAGAGCCTAATCATTGCAGGTAAAACCTCCTGGCCCCATCCTGTGGCTGGACAGGGAGTCAGTTTCCCTCAGAACCCTGATTCCTACATCTGGGGAGGAAAGCATTGAGCTCGCAAACCCCAGCCTGCTCTTGTCCCAGAAGGGAGCCGCCTTCCACTCACAGTGCAAGGGATTGAAGCCACCTACTGTAGTAGACAGCTGAGTTAGAAATATTATAGGCAGTCAGACGGGGCCAGGCCCTCGAAGGAGCCAACATGAAAGACAAGATACCTTGTGAATGGAGATGTATTTGCTGTGGGCCAGACCTCAAGACAAAGGACTAAACAAATGCACCCACACACCTCCCTAGGGATGGGCATCAGGGATTGATATTCTAAATAGGTAGATCACCTTGAAAAAGCCAGGAAGAGTCACTAGCCCAACTCGCTACAGGAAAAGCCCCTGTTCTGTATTCATGCCCCCTTGCTACGTGACTCGCTTCCCCATTTGATCCCAATTTAATCAATTTCACCTAAATAATACTTATGCCCACCTTGTAATTTCCCATTTTCCGCCATCTTGGCCCCGCCTCACCTCGGGGTTTTGCTCCCTAAAGTCCCTGGGAGGGCAAGGTCCTTGGCAGCCCACTCGGGCCCCCTTCTGTCCCTCTCTTGGACAGAAGCTTTCTTTCCCTCAATAAATATATTCTGCTCTTAACCGCTGTTGTTCCTAAAATCCATTCCTAGATTTTAGAGAACACAAACTCATCCCAGATATCGTCCAGGTTGGGAGTTTCTAATTCCCTGTATCACTACCTCTCCAGGGACCTGCTCTTCTACCCATGGGCACAGCCCTGCATGGTCTTCTGGTGGCAGGTGAGACTGTCTGCTTTGCATTCACTTAGAAGGACCATTTGATCTCAGGCAAAAGCCAAATTCTCTAATTTAGCCTTCATCTGAAGAAAAAATTGATGGTGACACCCTCATTCCTTCTCTTTTTTTTTATATTTCAGTGTGTGCAGAAACAAGGCAAAATGAGGTGCTATTTACTAAGAACCACCTGCCCCAGAAGCTCCTAATGGTGAGTGAGACAAGCCCGTACTCCAGAGCGTGTGTCAGCAAGCAGAACACATACTTGGAGAGTGACAATGACAAACCTAAACACCGTGAGAAAACCAAGCACTGGGGGCTGAGACCATGCTTGAGGAGCGCCTTTACAAAGAAGGCAGCTGGATTTTGAGGCTTCAGAATGAGTTTCCCAGAAAACAAACAAAAGAGGCCTGGCGGGTGGAGCCGGGTGAAGGTGTCATTTTGGTGGCGGCGCTAACAGTGCTCGCGATGGGAGAAACCTTGAGGAGCCTGGCGCGTTGGCAACAGTTCAAAAATATTTATTGAGGGCATACAAGGAAGTAACTCGCTGCTCCCCCGGATGTGGAGAGGAATACTTCTGATGATGCTCAAGAGGAAAGGTTAGTATGGAGGGACTCCAAGGAATGAGGTGAAGAAATTGAGTTCTTTTTCATTTCTATTTCATTCCTGTTGTTTGGTCTAGGAGAAAGTCTGACAGAAAACAGTTACGAAGGTGCCCGGGTGGCTGAGGTTTGGGAGAGCAGTGGGCAGGTGGACTGTGGCAGAACAACCTGGCCTCCTTGGGGAACCTCGCAGCAGGCAGAACAATGGGAGGAGCTACTGACCTGGCAACCTTGGCGGTCCAGGCAGGAGATGCTGTGGGACCAGGGGATGTTGCTGCAGGTTGTATTATCAGGGTCCTCCAAAGGGACAGAACCGTCAGGACATGTGGATATACAGAAAAGTTAAATATTAAATGTCAAGGAAAAGGCCCAAGTCACGGAGGCTTCAAAGCCCCAGATCTACAGACCAAAGAAGAGCTGATGCCACAGGTCAAATCCAAAGACACCAGTTACAGCATCCATCCTGCTCAGGGGAGGTCACTTTTTTGTCTATTTAATATAGACCTTCAGCTGATTGGACGAGGCTCACCCTGCACTAAAAGCCTGCTCACCTAGATGCTCATCTCAGCCCTGCACCCTCACAGTGTTTGGCCACAAACCATGGCCCAGCCAGGTTGACACATACAATGAGCCATCAAGCTCTGACTCTCAGGAGTTTCCACATCTGGAAGGCAGAGCCATCTGTTTCCAGCCTGATGGCTGGGCATCTGGAAGGTAGGGCCAGAGTTACGTACACCAGTATTCAAAAGGCTGAGGACACTGTAGTTTAGGATCCTCCCAGTATGTGTAATATACGTAAGGATGGAAAAGAGGGAGAAATAAGCGAACACCTCCACGACAGCTCCACTCTCTCCAGGTCAGGGCCAGGCTGCCCAGGAAGGGATCTTGCCCTGGGTGAGCTGCGCAGGACCTGCTCCTACCTCTGGGAGCCTCGCTGAGTGTTAGCATCTTGGAAACATCACTTAGACACGGGTCCCAGTTCAGGACCCTCATGCTGTGGTCAGGTGGAAGTGAGTCATAAGCACCCCCCTCCTCTCCTCTCCTCTCTCCCAAGGCCCCCCTTCTCCCCCAGATGACCTCTACATCTCTGCTTGGGCTCCAGCTCCAGGAGGGTGAGTAATACACTCGTGCATGAGCTGAGAACACACTGGAGCAATAGCCTTGCGTGGGCAAACTTGGCCCTGGCCTTCTTACCTCGGCATGGCATTTCAAGGCAGGGCGGCCCAGCTGCGGGGGTGGAACTGGGAAGTGCATGCGGCGGCTGAAAGCTCACAGCATGCAGTCATAACTCTCACATTCTCCCTCCAGCCTGACGCATCGCGGATGCCTTCTCAACCTCTGCTTTCATTCCTGTGTTCCTGGAGGGTTGAGAAAGAGAGAAAAACATGTTTTCATGTAAGACAGTGCTCTGAATTTGCATCTGTAATTCTGGGTTTGTCTGTGTTCTGCCTCTGTGGCCAAGTTACTGAGCCTAAGACTCAGTTTCCCCAGGGTGCTGAGATCATGGGACTGTGTGAGTAGACAAGGCTTCGTGCACAGGAAGAGGACTTTGCAAATAGCTGAGTCTTTTCCCACGTTGTTGATCCCCACTCCAGTACATCCCATGAGAAGGACATTGTCTCGGGCAGTCAGACTCCATCTATTCATCTTCCTCAAGTGAGCATATGTGTCTTTTCAGTTCAGCTAGAAAAATGTGTGTGCATGCATGCGTGTCTCCCTGTGCCAGGTAAGGAAACACTAAATCGTTACCTCTTCAGAGAAGCCCTTCCTGACCCCCTGGCCCATGGAGAGTGCACCGGTTCTGAGCTTCTGCATGTGAGCACATTCCAGCTAGGACATTAATGTGCTTGGGCTCCCAGTTCAGCCCGCAGCACCCAGATGTAGTCCCAGGTGTTAGTCCTTTATTTGTGTGCCCACCAGTTTTCACATCCACCTATCAGTAAAAATGTACTAAGAACATTCCTTAATAAATTAATCACTTCTGGAGCAGCATGGCGGCCACTGAGTGGCTGGTGGGGAGCATTGCGGGAGAGTAACTAGACTTCTTGTGGGACTGACACGTGCGGGTTTTTCCAGCATTGCCTTCAGGTCCTGACAGAGCATTATTCTTCGCTCAAGACCAGCAGGTTCTTCCCACAGAAGACAGATCAAATTTAAATCGCTGTGGTTTCCGAAGCTTTTCATGAGTATTCCATTCAGTCCATCAAAGAGTCCCAGAACAGTGCACCCATATGACAGTGGCCATGTAGCAATGACCTACAGCAGTCTTCATGTTTAGTTGTTCTTGAAGATGACTAAAGCCGAGTAAATAAAGAAGCTTGTTTAGCGAGCTTGAGAAGGCCTTCTGCTGGAAGATGGCAGTTTTGTGCAGTGCCTGAAGGCAGTGAAAATGACATGCAGTTTGTGTACTGTGCTTCCTGTATTTGCTATATGCTCAACAACTGGTCAGGCATGGATATGGAGAAAGCCATCAACTATATCAGAAGTATGTCCTTTGACAATGGGCTGGCACAGGGAGCTGGACTTGAATCTCATGGAGGCTCCACCTTC